CCACCTCACTGTCCTTATGCATGCAAAGTTCTGTAGCCTGAGATTCTACTTAACTATCTGATAACTTACAGATTTTAGTAAATGCCTGTAGATCTTCACAGGACATGAATGTTAGTGAAGAGTGAGCATGGTTGGGCTTGTCCCAGCTGATAGCTATCGTGGGTCAGAAGATGCAGAGTAGTTTGTTCAGATATTTGGATTTCTAGCACTTTTGTACAATGCTTGAATTCAAATCTTAGACAAGCTCATAAATCAGCATGCAAGAGTCCCAGCATATCCCAGCTGTTAAGTTGGTCCTCAGTGCTTGTAAACTTCAGAGGTGGGATGGGAAATGGATGTTTCTGTTGGTGTATTCTTCCTTCCTGATGCAGCATGCTTATGTTTCTCTTTGAAAGAAATGCTTTTTATCTCTTACACAAAGTAGTATCCTGCCTTTAGATCACACTTGATCTTGTGTAGCAGCTTTTAAGCCAGCTGCTTTTTTGCTGAGTGACATAAAGCCCCTCAAAAACTTACATTAAATTGATTTCTAGAAGGAAGCTGTAAAGACCCAATAAGCAGTAGGGTTGTGTTTCTTATGTACATCAATCAATGCTGTTTGCAATGAGTATGAGGTTACTGAAGCTGACTGGTAGCACAATTATTCATGTGTCTTTTTTTTCCTTTTTTTTTAGGCTTCAAACAGTGCTTCGTACATCCAAGATGCCTTCCAGCTCTTGCTGCCTGTACTGCAGCTCTCTCTTATTGAGGCTAGAACGGAACTATGCCAGCAATAAAAGCCCATCTAATTAAGACCTTCTTGACCTTCTCACTTCGTATTTTCCATGCTGGAGACTGACGTAATGGCTGATATTAAAAAGGAAAAAGATGAACTGATGGCTGCTACTGCAAGAGCAATGATAAAGTGCAGTCTGACAATGACAGCTCTTACAGCTCATTGAGGGATGTGATTAGCATAGTCCAGGCTGGTGGAGGATGTGACAGACTTCAAGCTCAGACTGCTTCCCTGTTTCCATAGGCTTGGAGTGGAGTGTCTCTGCTGTATGTGTTAACAAGCTCTTTGGAGAAACTCTCTAAACTGTGGAGACAGTGCTGGAGAAAGGAGTAGCAGCTGGCAATTTAAGAGTTAGCTGAAATCATAGTTGATTTTTAAGTCAGAGAGACATAACTAGGCTTCTGAGTGCTCAGCATTTGAGCTGAAATGGATACAAGATGCAAGAGAAGATAAAGATTTTTGATTATCACTCCTGATTATTTTTCGAGACTGGAAAGAATAGAACAGAGAGGGTTCCTTCTTGAGCCGCTGTTGCAGAAGAGAAGCCCCAGCTTCCTGAAGGTGTCTGCTAATGACTCAGGGATGTGGGATTGGGACTCACTAGGGTGCTGTTATTATTGCAGAATGCTTGCCTCAGCACAAACTGGAAAAATGTTGATCTGGCCCTAAGAATGTGGGTACTTTACTTTATAGCAATAAATGAGAACTGGCTAGAAGGGATTGATTCTTGTTTGAGCAATCTAATGAGAGAATTAAGCCGTAGGATGCCCCTTTTTTAATGTTACTTGACATGTCAGCTGCAGACTGTTCAGACTCAGATACTGTTTTTTTTTCTAATTTATGTATAAAAATACTATAATGTAATGCTCCTTCTTCTAAGATCTATTAAAGCAGGGAAAGAGGAAGCAATTTGGTTCTGTTAGCAGGAGTCCTAATTTGTCTCAGAAGCTGCTTCACGTATCGTATCTGTTCCTTTGTGCTATGAAAGTTCCCTGCTTTGTTCTTTTTTACAATTTCTATCTTCTGAGCTTTCCCACTGGGAGGGAACAGCCTCTGTTGGAATCACAAGAGCAGAAATGCACAGCTTAAATGGAACTTAAAGAAGTCCAGAATAGCAAACCAGAGGTGACTGAGTGTCACACCTGCCTCATTGGTAAGAGTGATGCTCAGATCTTATTTTTAAAATGGTCTGGGCTTTAGTAGGTCTTGCAGATTTCTGCAGTACTGAAGGCTTAGAGCAGTTTCTCTGCTCTGTTGTGCAACAGAGAGATGTTCTTTGTGTTAGCATACCTCTCTGCTAATGCTGCTCTGGTTTTAAATGCATGGAAAAGCCCTTGCCTTAGTCCTGGTTAGGCTGATCAAATCAAAGTATTTTATTTTGCTTTTTAAAGAATGCTAGACTTGAATGTGATTAGGAAAGAACATCTGTGCTACAATAAATTACATACTTTTTCTTTACATTGATAGCATTTTTGGAAAAGGATTCGTTTTGGGAAGGGTTTCAGGTGGCAAGGGGCACTAACAGAGCAGCAGGGAAGAGCTGTGCTGCCTTTTCTCATCCCCTGGCTGGTTTCTGGGGCAGGGCTGCGTGCTGCTGTGGGGCAGGGGCAGCTGGGGTCTCTCATGGCAGGGCACCCTTCCGTAGCAAACAAGGCACTAAACACAGGCTGGGGTGTGAGAGCTCCCACATCTGAGCTCTATATTACTGCATTGGCACAAAATGTCACCTTGGCTCCTACCACAAAGCCAAGATTTACAGAAATGTCAGAAGAGGAAAAAAATGATGATAACAGGGCTTTATGAAGCAGCAGCTACTTTTTATTTATTTATTTATTTATTTATTTATTTATTTATTTATTTATTTATTTATTTTGCAGGTTGTCTACTTAAGCTGGCCTGCAGTGCTTCTATGTAGTTTAATAATTAAAGGAAAGGGTTTTTTTTTAATTATTATTTTTTTAATAATGCAGTTCTTTCAGTCGCACTCTCACCTGCTTTTTGTTAGAACAGCCAATGCCCAACTGTGCAGCAGCTTCACTTGTGTACCTCTGCAAGGACCACAGTAGATTACCAACAGAAATAGTTACAATTGTTGAAATCTTGCTACCCAAAGGATGCATCAGAATTCACCATCCAACTGTCTGGAGGTCTTATTGCTCAGCCTTGACTTGCTCGTGAATCTGATGAGAGCTGGCAGTGATTTGAGAACTTCTGGTGGTGTTCAGAGAGATGAGAGGTGGCTGAGAATAGATAAGAGATAGCTGAGATGCTGGCAGGAGCTGGGAGGGGGAAAAAGCCTCCCACAGTTATTTTCTTTCCTTAGGAGAGATTCTGTTACTTGCAGCTGCAAATGCTGCTTCCTGGCAGCTGCTGTGGAAAGGTTTAAAACATGAAAAAGGCTTGCTTCTCCCGACGTGCTCCCAGCCTTGGCCCAGCCACATTCCCAGGGACTCACTTTTCATTATTAACACACACACGTTCAGCAGCAGCAAAACCTCTGACGCAGGAGGGGCGAGTGGTTGTCCTGCTCATTTGGAAGTAGCAGCAGCTCTGGTGCCAGCAGTGCTGGTGGCTGTGAGTGAGGGGACGGGTGTCCAGGTGTCGTGAATCACCCACAGCATGAATTAAATGTTCTGACTCAGGAGCAGGAAGAGGAGAGCTTGTGGCAGGAGGAGGAAGGCTGTGGCATTTCTTCCCCAGGTACACACGCTGGATCATAAATAAACAGTTGTCTGTAGTGATGTGATTTCAGCAGAAAGATTGGTCTTCTGTAGCCAAAGGCTGCTTAGCACAGTAATCGAATCCAGCGTGGGAGGACATAAATGCCCAGTCCTGTGCTAATTAATGTTTCTGGGAGTGCAGCTCTGCACTTTGACAGCAGCTCATTGCACAGATGCTGGGTGCCGGCTGCCATGTTCCCTTCCATCTGTGGGCAGCTCTATGCCTGCTGTAGGCTGAGAGCAGAGCTCAGGTGTGCTTTGTGGTCTGGGACCACTGATGTCCCATCACATGATAACAACCAAATTCATGTTACAATGCGCTGTTGGCTGTGGCCTGGCTGGGGCAGCCCCTAGGATCCACAGCCCTGGGGTGGTGCTCTGTGTCCCCATGTCCCTGCAGCAATGCCAGGGCTGTGCCCTTCCTGACTGTGGCTGGAGGATGACGGATGTGCCCCATCATCATACCACAAGCCTGGCAGGGCAGGCAGGGAGCAGCGACTGCTGTTAATAGGGTCATGATTTTCAAAACAAGGTCAAGCACCATGCCTGTGGGTGAGTATCCTCATCAGGGGATGGCAGGAGCTGTTCGGACACGCAGGGTTGGATTCCAGCTGATCCTGACAGTGAGCATCCTCCCTGCCCTTCGATGACCTGGTGTCGTGCTCCTCGTGCTCCTCCTGACCCTGATCTCTGTGTGCCTTGCCTACCTCTTACTTCTGATCTAACCTTGCTGGGAGGACTCATGCTCTGTATTTGGGGCCAGCATGGACTCTTATTAGTCCAGAAAGCTCAGTGCATCCATGGGCAGGTTTTTGGGGTGGGTAACCCCTGTGCAGCCGCATCTCTACTGCAGGGTACCCAGGGTCATCTTGCACATGAGTTACAATTACAGTTGTAATTACTGTGGGAGGAACTTTGCTGTAGATTTGAAGGGTTTAAATGGGGCAAATCTTGTGGGAGAGGTAATACCTTTTATTAGGTGGAGAAAACAAATCAGCTTTCAGGTACACAAGCCCTTCTTGACATTATTGTTGCTGTTATTATCCCATATTGGTGCTATTAGAAACGAGGGCATTGCATTAGAGGGGAAGCACATTATGCAAGTGTTTAGACTTGCTGGTAACTGCTCTCTGCTGACAGCTATTTGCTTAATGATATGTTGGAGCAGAAGCCAACAGCAAGGATGAGCAGAAGGAGCCCTGCCTGGGCTGTGATGCTCTGGGAAGAGGCAGCAAAGACCTGGCGGTGAAGGTTCTTGCCTTCTGGCTCTAAGGAGACCTCCAAGTTCCATCCTGTGTATCTGACAGGGCTCTGCCCTTGGTGTATTCCAAATGGAGTGCCCTGAAGAGCTGGTATGGGGTCAAGCTCAGTGCTTCTGCCCATGCTGGAGGCAGAAATGTCTGCCAGGCTCTATAGGCGTGAATGTGACTGGTCACGTTCTCAGTGTCACGTGCTGTCCGGGGCGGGTGGCAAAGCCAGTTTTTCTGCTCCCAAAATGAGACTTGGGGAGGAGACCGCAATGCTCAAATAGCCACCACACTGCCTGCTGCCAGCAGATGCCAAGGAGCCCATTCACCTTTCCTGCTTCAGGTAGGACACCTTCCTCCATCATCGATGTCGCTGTGGGCGTTTACAGACCAGCTTATTGATGCTGTGGGCTGGAGGAGGGGAGTAGAAGTGTGGTTTTGATGTGCAGGGTGAGGCAGGAGCAGCCCTGGGTCAGCTTTGCTGTGGGGCATCTCATGGATGGAGATGGGACATCATGCCCTGTTCTCTCTGGGAAGGGCTGCAGTGCTCCTCAGTTGTGACTGGAGGCATTGGGACCGCACATGGTATCACATGGGATTGGTTTAAGAATGCTTGGTTCGTTTCCCAGCGATCTGTTCCATGTGCACCAATGCTTTGGTCAGCTGCAAAGGGAAATCACAGCTCAGCACAGCTGAGCTTCACCTGCCCATGCTTTAGCTCACAGCTCCATCCAAGGCTGGGAGCCCTGTATGGCTGTGAACGACATGGAGGTACAAAGCAGAGGCAGCCCCGTGGGTCTGGGGCTGAACAGGAGCTGCTGTTTGGTGCATGGCACTCAGCGTCAGGGAATCAGCTGCATCTTCCTAGGGGCTGCCTTTCCTTTCGCTAATGTTTGATTCTTTTTAATGATTTTAGATTAGAAAGTAATTATTTCTAATTAAGAGCTGCACTTCTAAATTACGGAAGCGAAGTAGATTGCTATTCATTATTAATTAGATTTTTACCTTTGCACCCATTGTGCCTTTGTCAGCCCCAACCTGCACTTTGCCTGCGGCTTCCTGGAGCGTGTTTGGAAAACACAGATCAGTGTTATCAACCCAGAGGCCGCCTTGTGCTTCACTGCGCACAAACAGTGTCATTTTGTGGGCTTAAAAACATTAATTGAAAGCCTTCACCTCCTGCCTCCCTCCACCAGTGATGAGCAGAGACTGCTCTCCAGTTGTGTGCTGGGGCAAAGGGCCGACCCCAGTGCCCCCGCCTGCAGCATGGCCCTGCTCCCTGCCCTGCTGCCTTTCCTTTGCCACAGGTGCCAATTTTGCTCTTTGTGTCTGAGAAGGAGGGTTTAAGCTGCCAGTGCTGGTTTTTTTTTGGGGGGGGAGGGGGGCTCTGTTTGTTCTTTCTGTTTTTAAAGAAATCTGTTTGCCTTCTTCTGAGCTGCTTTCTTCACCGTCTGTCACTGCTCAGGCACTTAATCAATGCTCAGAGTTTTCTTACTGCTGCTGCCTCCGTCTCCCTTCCTGCTCTCATCCCATCCCTGGGGGATGTCTCTCATCTGTTGCTTCTCCAGAACCCCGAAGTATGGAGCCTTACTTACCCTTAATTTAAAATATTTTGAATATTTCTGTGGTTTCCACCTGCTCCCAGGTGGGTTTGGAAGTGGAATTAAGGTATCTCCCTGCATGCTTGGTCTCTACAAACAGCAGGGACTAAGGAAGTATTTTCATCCCTGAAAAAAATCCCGTGATTTCCCTCTCCTCTGTGTGCCATAGGAGTGAGCACCTCGTGCCCCAGAGCCCTTTGGCTGTGGTGAAATGTCGACGATCCTGAAATGTGAGTGTGGGATGGGAGCTGGGGAGGGACCCTCCTGAGGGTGCTACTGTTAATGACCCTCCTCCTGCGCCCACTGTAGGGTTTGGACGGGAAGATAAGGAGAGAGAGGAGAAGGAAGAGGAAAGAAAACAGGAGTCAGAGGAGGAAAAGGATGAGGTATGGGTATGCTGGTACTGGTGTGTGGTAGGATGGGGCCAGCCCCAGAAAGGGGTATTGGTGGCATGGGGATGGTTGCTTTGTACAAGAGTTGTGGGAGGATTTTGAAAGCCTCAAAAGATTTGATTTATATCCTGGTTGTGAAGGACAGTGGTGCCTGACTCGTGGTGTTCACAGCTGGTGGTTGATGCTGAGCCATCTGCAGCCTGAACTCACGTGGCTTTTCCATTGACAGCTAGCTCAGAGCCTGGCTCTTTCTATTTGTGTAACTTCTCCCCATCCTGAATAGCAAATGGGGGGGGAGAAGGTGGGAGGAGCAGAGCCCCTGGTGACATTTGCCCTTTCCTCTTTGCAGGGAGTTGGGGATGGTGACAACAGGAGTAGCAGCAGCAGCACTGAGGAGGTAAGCATCCAGAGTGCCCCAAGCGAAGATCCCCAGCACCAACCACTGCATGCATGCTGCTTTTGGGGGGCATTCAGAACCTGGAGGCACCCAGTAGCACCCAGCTTTCCTCTCTCACCATGCTGCTTTTCTTCTTATTCCAGCCCCAGGACCAGGGCCGTGCTGAGGACGATGATAAGGAAGCCCAGGAGTAGACTTGCTGGGCATGCCGAGGAGCTGGGGATGCTGGAGGGGGCTGGCCACTGGTAGCCAAATAAAAGCATTTGGACCCCAAAGAGAGATGTTATTTGTTCATCCCAACAAGCTGCCTGTCCCCAAAACAGCTATGAAAAGGCAGGTGGTGGGGAGCAGGTCTGGCTCAAGATCGTGAAAAAGGATGGAGAGAAACTCTTATGGCTGGATGGCATTTCCCATTGATCGAAACCACACCAAAAGCACTCGCAGGGGAAAAATTAACCCCAAACTGGGGGATGCTAACAGGATGCTGAGCATGTGGCTGCCCCGTGCTCTGCCGCGGCTGGGAGAGCCGGGAAAAAAGGGAAAAATGGGAAAAATGAGCTGTCACTGCCATCTACCGGGACTGGGACGAGTGGCAGCGGGGCCGAGGGTTTCGTAACAACTCACGGGGTGTTGGGTAAGGCTTCCTCCGAACGACCTCTCGCCTTCAATAGTGACTATTTCGGACAAACTTGGGTTTAGCAGTCAAAATCTGGAAGATTTTACTTGAAACCACAGAATTTTCTGCTTTAAGTTTTGCGTTCTTAGAACAAATGCAGCCGGCTCTTGTATAACCACAGCAAACAGTAGGAGTGATGCTGAGGAATGTTGTCTTAATTAACCAACGCAGAGATTAAAGGGAAAACATGGAGACAGGACAAACAGACCAACCCAGCAGCTAAAGTGGGTTCTGGAAGGCTGAGCCTAAGTGCATTGCAGTCAGGGAAACAAGGACACCTCAATGTAAAGCAGCCCCATAGGGCACTGCAGCCTCCACTGCCCTCTATGTTGGTACGTGGGACTCATGCATGGGATACAGCCTGCATCCAAACATGGAACGCCCACAGTGCCTTTGGGCTTAGCTCCCACAGGGTGGGAATCTCTGGGGTTCAATGTTCATAGTACCCATCCTCATGTTGCCCCAAATCCCAGAGCTTCGTGTGCTCAGATCCAGCATATGCACATCCCTGTGTTGCTGGGTGCCGGTGGGTAACAAGACAGGGAAAAGCTCACTGTGTTTTATGGGCCCTTCCTGGGGCAGTGCACAGAGCTCTGTGCAAATACAGCATCTGTTTTGTGGCTCAAAACAGCTCCAGTGAACGGCTGTGTGAGCAACCAAAGGAGCCCCAAAGGTTCTCCATCCCATGTTCTGCACTGTGCTCTGGACATCACAGTGTGCTGCCTTGGTTTGAAACCATGAGGTTTCCCCAGAAAGCGGCAGGCATGCAAACCATTTCAAATCACCCACGGTCCATAACTCCTCATTATGTCATAGCCCTGGTTTGCATCCAGGTGACATGAATGGGATTATAGCACAAGCATCAACGCCAGCCAATTGTATCAAGGGCTTTAGTAACATTTCCTGCAGGAGGCAAAACACAAGCAAAACAACTGGCTTTTGGGGATGCTGAGGACCTTCAGCAGAGTGAACTGTATGGCCCCATAGGTGGCAGTGGCTGGGGACAGAGAGGCATGACCTCTGGCTTGCCCAGGCTGTGATGGCTGAGCACTTCCCAAGCACTGCTGGACACCAAATCTGTCCCCATTGCGGTGTTTAACCACTGAATCTGCTCAAAACTTATGCAAAGTCCAACCTTGGATGTGCCCTTGGATGGCAGGGAGCAGAGCATGGACAGAGACGTGCCGAGTGCCCATCATGTCCATCCAGCTCAGGGGAGGGTGGAGTAGGAAAAGGAGACAGCAAGAGAAATTGGCAGCCAGGGAGTTACTTAAGCAAGCCTTGTTTACACACATCTTCTCCTCTTTATATAACCTCCCCGAGGCAGCAGGAGGTGTGCAGCCTGAGCTCAGGGAGCAGCTGAAGGGACCATGCACAAACCATGCAGAAGCACAGCTGCCATGAGACCCTGGGCATGGAGAGAAGATGGATTTCTGCATCATTTATTGTAGAAATGCCCCCTTACAGTGTTGTTTTTTTTTTTCCCATTTTTTCCTTTTTTAAATTATTATTATTATTCTCTGAATATGAAAGATTTCAGATCAGAAAGGCTGGACCTCTGTTTTGCTACGAAATTTTCCATCTTGCACTTCGGGGCTGCATTCAGCAAACAAGGGCGTGTTGTTACATAAACTGTCCTGTATGGAAAAGAGCTTCTCCGAGGTACAGATCAAACAGAAATCTTTCCTTTGTTCCCAAGTGACCTCCATGGAAAATTGCGAGCAGCTTTTTTTCATTCCATCAAGAAGTGGAAACAGTCAGAAGTCCCGAGTTTCCCAGAAAAGCCGATTCCTGCAGCCTTGCTATGATCTGGTAATCCCTGCAGGGCGCCGGGCAGAGACTTCCTACAGACCAACCCTTCTATTTTAGGGCTAAATAGTAGGAAAAGGAAAACCACATCAGAACACGTGTTTCACAAGCGGAGGGTGCATTGGGAGGGTGAGTTTTCTCCTTCCACTCTGGCTCCCTGGATACTTTGTGCTGAGCTCTTCTACAGTTTGTCCTCTCATTCTAAATAGGTGTAAATTGTTTGTTGCTATGTTAGAATGAAAAGCTGGAAGTTCCACTGGAGCTTTATTCACTGCAGTGCCTGGATTCATTTTTTCATAAAAACAGCTCTGAGTGTAGCAATCCTGCACTCCTTCACAGCACTCTTTTCTTTTCTCTTCTGCAATTGCCTTCTCCTCAGACTCCCATGTTTGCTCTTTCAGGGAAGCAAAGAGGGGCTCTTATTCTCCAAACCCAACTGCAATGCATTCGTAACATCCACGAAGCAGCAGTGCTGGGCTGATTGTGAAGGAACACATGCAATTTCCTCCAGCAGATCCACCAGAAGGGGCTTAAGGGTGATGAATCCATGGAGAAACAGCACTCTGAGCCCTCCAAAGCTGTGCTGGGTGGGCACCTAGAATCCAAAGACCAGGGGGCAAACCAGCACGGGTAGAAGGCACAGGCAGAAATGCTGCTCCTGCAGATGGTGGGCTGCAGCTGTTCCTGGAACACCAATGAGCTGATTGTAACCATGCACCGTGGTTGCACCACGGGTATCCTGCACTGTAGTTTTGCCACACATCCCAGGGCAACCACCCAGAGAATGGGGATAATTCTGACTTCAGTGTTTCTGCATCTGTGCCCGTGGAAAAGAGCACCTATGTGTGTTTTCTATAGGACTTGCTGCAAGATGTGTGACAATGCTCTGCCCCCCTCATTGCCAAGGAGTCTGTATGAGTGATACAGGCCAGATACAAACCTGAGTTCCCCCTCCTTCCTCTCCTATCTCCAGGATGCCCAGTTACATGAGCACTGGGAAAGCATTACATCACAGCACTGTCTGCCCTGTCCATGTGACAGCCAACACGTTCCTCTAGGAATGATGATGCCCCGGGCACAGCCTGTATGACTCTGAAAAGAAAATATTAAAGTTTTCTTTAAAGGAAAATATTAAAGCTTTCTTCAATTTCCCAACCTTGCATACAGCTGATCCTTGTTACAGAGGAACAGCTGAGTTTTGGGGCTCAGGAACAACACTGTAATTGATGTGACTGCTGTCTGCCCAGCATCGAGTCAGTGCAGAACAGTGTGGCAAAGTGCTGTAGCCACCAGACAGAAAGCAGGCACAGAGCTCCTGCAGAGAGCTGAAAGAAAAGGTGTGTGTTACAGCCGTGAGCACAGCTGCCTCCTCCACCACCTCCCTCCTTTCCTTCACTGAGCAGAACTGGCTCTGAACTGCGTGCTGCAAACAGAGAAACCTGGCAGCTGCACAATGACCTGGACAGAGAAACAGGATGATGCAAAGATGGCAAAAATTCCAGGAAGCTGCTGTGCTTGTTGACACGCTGGGAGGCGTGTGATGCAAATGATCCCTGCGTGCTGTTTGCACGTACTGAGGTGTAGAAGTCATTCCTTGGCCGAACTCTGAAGGGTGCTGCATGCAGATGAGCCAGGATCCAGGCAGGAGCAGGGCTGCACAGGTGCAGAAACACGGCCCAGAGCCTTATCCTATGCAGAGCCTCATCCTATGCAGGCTGCTCTGGCCCTTATCCAGCTGTGCTGCATCCCTGTGCTGTGGCAGTACTGCAATCCCTTTGCCATTTCTTGGCTGGGACGCCGACTCTTTCCTCCTTCTGGCATTTTAGAAATGGGGAAACTTGTCTCTGCACAACAGGATTTTCAGGTCTGATGGAAGTCTCATCCATGCAGGAGGTGATGGGAAGAGCAGAGAAAGTGTAGAGCACGGTCACGGTGTGCATAGCATGTGTTCCTGCCCAGAGAAACAGCTCTGTGTGCCCCATACGAGAGAGTTACCACCTCCGTGCCATTCCTTTACCTCAGATATGTGAAAGAAACAAATGCCACTGCTTGCAAGAAGCATTTATGCGCTAAAAGCAGGCAAACAAGTGTCCCACCTTTAGCATTTACAGAGAAAAACATCCCATTGTGCTCTGCAAATTGAGCCCTGCTGCAGCCTTCTGCAAAACTCAGTGTCCTCACCCGGCCAGCAGAATGGTTAACATTAAGTATTTAAACCTCTTATTATTATTGCAGTCTGTCCTGAGTCAGCACAAACACCCCAGTGACAAGCTAAAGCATTTGGAGTTCAGCACTTGCTCAGCACTTACTGGAACGAAGAAAACAATCCATCCTTGCAGTGGTGCTGACAAGCCTGGATTCTGATGGTGTGTTGTTGCTGATGGATTGTTATGTGCATTATGCAAAAGCAGTGGTGTGAATCAGGAGGTGCAGAACAGAAAACCTGGGGACAGCACAGGTCACCCTCTGTCACCCTCACCAATCTCCGGCTCTCCAGGGAGCCAGGAGGAGCTGCTTCCTCCAGGCTGAGCCACACCAGCAGGTGATGGGAGCACTCTGTGGGCACAACACTGCCACGTAGGTCATGTTGGCTAAAATCACCCCCAGTAGTGTGGCTCATGAACAGGCATTGCTCCAGAGGTGATCTGGAGGTGGGTGAGGATTCCCTGGTTGTCCAACCCCAGCCCACCCCCACTGTGCCCACTGCCCACATCCCTGAGTGCCACATCTCCAAGGTTCTCAAACACCTCCAGTGATGATGGATCCCATCAGTGGGCATCAGTGCCACTGCCTCACCACTCTTCTGAGATGAAATTGTTCCTAATATTCAACCTGAACAAAGCTCTGGGGTAAGGGGGCCTAGGGGCACTGCTGCTGAACAGGGCCTGAGCTTCCCCTATCTGCAGAAATTCTATGCAAAATGCAAAGCCCTTGGAGCACACATGCAGTAATTAGGATTTGAAATTTTCAGAGCGCTCATGTGCTGTTTAATGAAATCACAGCAGGTTTTGAAACCAAACCTGTTCTGCAGCCCCAGCTCTGCCAGCCCCTCCCTTGGTTTTGCCAGCGCTCCCGCCCCAATGGTGACCTCCCTCCCTGAGCATCTCTCCCAGCCTGCTCTGCCTTTGTTTGGCTTTTAGGGACAGACAAAAGAGCCGGTGGGGAATGTGCATCATCCTTACATAAAGTCTGATCTACTAAGCTGCTTTTGGCTGTTTTTCCCAGCACCGGCAATAGGAGAGCTGTCGTCATCTCAGCGTGGGACCGGGAAGGGGATTTTCATCACAGAGTTTGGGTTGGTTCAGCTCTGGGTCTGCAGATCCACCTGCAGAGAAAGGAAGCCCATTTCCCCTAAAGCATCTCGCAGGGGTCTGCGCAGTGCAGGAGATGCGCTCGATGCACCCCAACCTCCCCACATTCCCGGGGACACATTCGCAGCGGGCCGGGGCTGCTCCCCAGAATCCAACAACGGAACCCCGGTATTACGAACTGATATAGGACCCCCTCCAGGCACTAATATCAAACACCGGCTCCCCGGTCTCCCCCAGGGCGCCCCGCGATGCCTCACACCGGACCACCCCGGGTCCCCCCACGTCGTTCACAGCACCGCCCCCGGTGCCGCCGACTCCGTTACGAAACGCGGCCGGGGCGGGGCGGCGCGGCGGCGGCGGCAGCCAATGGCGATCCCGGCGGCCCTCGATTCGGGCGGAGGGGGCGTCGTACCGCCGAGCTCCGGCACCGCAGCGTTCCGCCGGGCGCCCCGGGGCAGAACGGGCTGAGCCTCTGCTATGCGGCCCCGAGGTCGTCTCGGCGTTCGGAGGCTATAGCCATGAGCAGAGACCCTTCCACCTCTTCCACCCCACCCCGGGTGGGCAGCCCCATTCCGCAGCCCCTCGGGAGCGCGGAGGTGCTGCGCTGCCCGTCCTGCCGCCTCCTCCTCTGGGAGCCGGTGACCGTATCGTGCGGGCACTCCTTCTGTAAGCCGTGCCTCGGCGGGGCCGTGCCCTCCCGCTGCCCCGTGTGCCATCGCCGGCTGAAGCTGTTGGGCGTCGAGTCGGTGAGATGCAACGTGGTGCTCTGTAACCTGCTGGAGAAGTGCGAGGAGAGGGGGAGCCGCTCAGCCAGGCTGGCAGCACGCATCCGGAGTCGTCTTGCCCGTGGGGACCTGCAGGATGCTCTGAGGATGGCCCAGAAGGGCATTGAGATGGGTAAGCAGCATGGGGCCCGAGGGGCTGACAAGATGATGACACAGGAGGGGCTGTACAGGGATGAGGACGTGCTGTTGGAGCAGGTGGGTACCAGTGCAGGTCATTTTGTCCCTGCACCATGGGTGACCTCTGTCTGACACAGCTGAGCACCTGGGGAACTCATTAGGAGTGCTAGAAGTGTTGGAAAGGAACTGGGAGGGCAGAAACACCACCAAAAGCAGGGCTTTGCTTCTGGGTCATCCCCACCCCTGCAGAAGACCACCAGCAGCACAGGGACACGGCCTTCCCCAGGCCATAGTGGCTGCTTATCCCCAGGGTCAGGGCTTGGTGTCCTACTGCCATGTGTCCTTGGTGTCAGCAGCAGCTGGAGAGGAAGGAGGTCTCATTAACAGCTGAGCTGACAAAGCTGAGTTCCACAGCTTCCCAGAGTATTCAGTGTATCATTAGAAGAGCACCTGGGGGGGTAGGGGTGATGGAAAGCAACTGAGACTTCTCCAGTCGGGGACAGAAACTGAGCACACCCAGTGCTCAGCAGGGCCCCCTGACCCCCTTCTGCACCTGGCACTGAGGAGACATTCGTCTACAAGGCTGGGATCAGGCCCAGGAGGTTGTTCTGCTTTACTGTGTGTCCATAAGTGGATTTCTTGGAGAGTGACGCTGCTCCAAGTGGGGTTACACAACACGGCTGGGAAGCAGGGGGGCTGGGGAGCAGAGGCATGAAGGTCCTCTCAGAATGAGCAGTGTTTCTATGGCACCGAGCTCTGCTTCTGCAGCACAGCATCTCCTCCTCGTCACCTGCTGTGGGATGAGCCCCAGAGGTTTGGGGTGTACCCCTAAGCAAAGGGCCAGCAGGGAGTGAGCTGTAGTCCCTTTGTGCAACCTCCCAAAGCACTGCATGGTCCTGTGTGCCCTTTGTTCGGAGCAAAAACACGTGCATGGTGCTCCTTTACTGTGCTATGGGCTGACTTTTGTCTTGCAATTAGCTGTGAGTAGAAAGAGTGATCTATTGCAGGCTGTGCTTGGTCTTTCTTTGCTGCGTGCTCAGCTTGCTGTTGGCTGGGGGAAGTCCAGGTTGGGACAATGAGGAAATAGGGATCAGTGGCAGCTCCCAAAGACCAGTATGTGCAGGTGCTTCTCGGGCTGTGCCAGTTAGTGGTGCTTTGGGGCTCAGTGTTGCTCAGGGCAGGAGCTGTGGGCTTTGCACTGAGCCCGCTGGGACACCATGTGGCCAAAGGGAATAGAAAAACAGGAGATAGCAGGTTGACAAAGTGAACCAAATAGTGCTGTGTAACACAGGAGGGCTCCTCTGGCATTGTGCTGCCAGCTGGCTCACGTCCCTGATGCTTGGTGATATCATACAGCAAAAATAGCTGCAGTGTCACAGAAATGCAGAACTTGCTGCCTGATTTTACGTGTCTTATTTGTGCTAAATCAGTCACTTTGTTGACAGTCTGTAAATGTTTGAATGTGCTCACTGATGTGGAAAATAAGCTCCTGGACTTTGTGCTCGTGTTTTCACCTCTGCACGTCATTAGGAGCTGCAGTATCTCATCCCCAGACGTGTGCAGAGGGCTGGACTCCGGCACAGCCAGTTCTTGAAGTGCTGCATGCTGATCTGATCACAGCACACACAGACACATGTGCACGTAGGCTCACAAGGAGCACGTGGTGCCCAGCTGCAGCCCAGCCTGTACAGCCCCATGTGCACTTTGGGGTGTTGTTCTGTGAGTGCCCCTTGGTGCTGAGATCCCATTGGTGATACCATGCTGATATAAGCCTGGATGCCCTAATTCCTTTCCTCTGTTTCAGCCTTTGCTTGCACGTGGGAACTCAGAGCCACCTGGTGGGGAGGATGGGAGCCCTCCTTGCACCCATAGGTTTGCCCCTGTCTGGGGACAGCAGTGGTGGCTCCAAGAGGCTGCAGTGTTTTGGAACGGCAGTCCCCAGCTGCTGGCTTGTTGGGTGACACATTGCCCTGAATTCCATCATGGAGACCCTCATGGTGACCTCTATGGGGAGCACATACTGTATCCCAAAAAGATGGGCAATGGTCCAGATCCTACTGTGATTGAAACTGAGCCCCACGGCAGTGGTGCTGCAGGGGCTCTTGGCACCAGGACCCACCTTTCTCTTTGCAGTCCTGGAGGACACATCCCTGCGTCTGTGCCGGGCAGAGGCCTTGGCAGCCCTGGGGCGGTATTCAGAGGCGCTGCAGGACCTGGAAGCCGTGTGCAGGGCTGAGCCCATGGAGTGCGAGGTGAGCAGAGGAGAGCAGCTGGGGGTGCGGTGGTGTTTGGGAACCTCACCTCACTGCACAGGGAAGTGATGTCCCCCTTTTCTTCTCCCCCTTGGGGATTTCCCCTTTGCTGGTCACAGAAGGCAGAGGACTTTTTAGCTGCAGGGGCAGATGTGGATAATTTAACTTTCATCTATGAGGGCTGCTCCAAAAGTAATGCTTCCTATTGTATTATGTTGGCCCCGACACTCACTGAACATTTCACTGGTGCTTGCTGAATATTTATGGAGCCCAACCAGTGAATGTAAGCAGTGTGGCAGTGAGTGGTGCATTTCAGCAGTAGAAACAGTAACAGTGATCACCTCTGCTAGTGTAGATTTATATGAACGCAGCATGCAGGCTCTTGTTCATCACTGGTGAAAATGTATAACTATTGGTAGTGAAAAATAGTGCTTTGTAGCTGAGAACTTGCTCTATCAAATACTGTTACTGTACTCTTTGTATCTGTTTTGGTTTCCATGGATATAAATAGGAAGCATTACTTTCAGAGCAACCTATATACATCTTAATCCAACCAGTTACTCGTTGCTGGGTCCAGCATGTGGTTCACAGGCAATCCTGAGTTCTCACAGCTACTGGCTTCAGAAATAGACTACTCAAATTCATTAATTGCTAATATGGGACACAAGCTCTCTGCAGTGTTAATTGGAGGATCTTTGCTCACGCGCTCTTGGTGAGGACGTAAAGAATGCTGATTTGCAGGCTGGGGCGGGGGGCTTCTTTGCACGTGTTGGCAATCAGTGTGCAGCTTCAAGGTAGAAGCCCTTTACCCTTTCACAAGGTCTCTGTACGGTGGGAGTGAATCCATCAACATCAGGGCTTGGGGCACACAAGGGGCACATTCTCAGCTGGCTGCTGGCCTGTAGTCAGCATAAGTTTTTCTGTGCTCTCCAGAGCTTCTACAGGAAAGGGAAGGTGCTCCTGGAGATGGGACGGAGAGCCGAAGCCCTGCTGGCATGGGAGCACTGCCTGATGCTCAGTCCTTGCTTCCAGCCTGCGCAGAGAGAGATGGAGAAGGTATGTGGGTCTGCAGAGTGGTGGATCCCATGCACTCCCATTGCTCAGGGATGTTCCCTGATGTAAGTTTGCTGAACTCAGCCAGCTCTGGAACAAGCAGCCGTGATGCTGCGGTGGTCCAGGTCTGCTTTGGAGTCTCTGGGTCACACATCTCCTCCCAGAAACCCTGCTGAGCCCTGCTTTCTCCTTGCAGGTCCTCACATGGGAGGATGCTCCTCAGTCATGTGCTGCCCACCAGGGCTCATCCGGTCCCCAGGAAGAGCAGGATGAAGGGGATCCTGCATCCTCCTCCACACAAGCTCAGGTAATATAGGCTGCAATGGGGTTTGACATCCTTTTGGTACACACCAAACTGAAGTTTCCCAATGATGGGAATGGTAAAGGGCAGCTGTGCAGAACCATGCCCGTGGGCACATGGTTTTGTGTAGCAGGTGGTGAGAGAGCTGAGGAGGCTCCTCCTGTTTCCAGCCCTCTTCCAGTTTTGTTCTGCAGTATTTTTCACAAGACTTCAGACTGCTGTTTAAAACACAAAAGTCACATAACATTCAGGAAAAAAAAAACCCTAGAAAATTTCAGTTTTAATGGTGTTTTTTTTCGCTTGGTAAACACATCTGAGAACGATTCAGACCATTAGGAGCTATTAAGAAAAACTCAGTCTGCTCTTTCTACTTGCTATGCCCAGGAACAGGAGGAGGAGCTGGAGGCTGGCAGGGGTGATGTGGTGGCTGAGCATGGCCAGGGAACACCCGTGGGACAACAGAGAATTCCAGGGGCTGCAGCACAGAGGGAGGACAGGCAGGAAGGTGAGTGCCATCTTGTGCAGGACAGCAAGCATCTGAGTTGCCTAAATCATAGAATCCTTAAAGTTGGAAAGACCGCTAAGATCCTCTCGTCCAACCATTGACCCATCACCACTGTGCCCTTGTCCCTAAAGCAGTGGTGATCCCCTGTGGCAGTACAGCAGAGACCTCCATCTGGTGGCTTCTTTGGGCTGCTTCACCTTCTGGTGCCGCAGTTTCCCTGCAGAAGGAGGAGGAAGAGATGCTGCCTTCCTCTGCCCCCGATGTATGAGCTGTGGCTGAACATGGATGGGTTGTTGGCTGGGTTCATGTTGCATCACCCAGTGGTTTTGTTTTCAAATTCTGAAGCACTTTGTGTAAGCATTGATTCCACACACCTCAGAACAAGGTCAGAAAGCAAAGCTTAATTTTCAGTATTGAAACAGGTGTTTGTTTGTTTTTTTTTTTTCTTTTCTTTCCTCCTCTCCTTTTGCCACCAGCTAATGAAGAGGAAACAGCAGCAATGAGTAACCTGCTGCCCCTTGAGGACCTGCTGAGCATTTCTGACTTGGAGTGCTCCCTCTGTATCAGGTGAGTTCTCTGGCTGCTTTTTGGATGAGAAATTAGAATCACAGAACATCCTGAGTTGAAAAGGACCCATCCATCATTGAGTCCAACTCCTGGCTCCACACAGAACCATGCAAAAATCAGCACCCACCTGGTTCTGCTTCTTGGTTTGCATCTTTCTTTTCCTCTTAATATCAAACGCAGTCCCCAGTGCTGTAAAGTAAGGTTTGGCAGAAGTAAGAGCTAAGAGGGAACTCGCACACTGGTGGGATCCATGGGGACCCCCAGGGATGGGGAGCTCTGACCTTGGATAGTTGCCATCTCACTCATTGTGCAAATCCAACAGTCTCAGATCAGGCTTCTAATGAATTGAATAAATATTCACATTTAATTAACAAGAGTTGCAAGCAAAGATTGGCTAACACAGCTTTAGTGAAAGCGAATTGTGTAGCTGTGTGCTGCCTGGGCTTGGGAAGCACAGTGTGAAAGAGCTTCCAGCAGTGTCTCAGCCCTGCAGCATCACTGTAGATTCCCCTTGAAGTTTGCAGGAGCTGATGTGGGAAACACTCGATCCTGCTGGAAGCAAAATCCCTTAAGATCTTACTGTGGAATCTTTTCAAGCCTCCTACTTGCACAAAGGGGACTGCAATGAGATGCAGGTATGGGGCTGGGAGTGGCTGGGAGCTGTGCCTGCAGCTCCATCCTCGCTTGCATCAGCATGCAGCAGGTGCTTTGTGGAGCTGAACCCAAGTTGGATTTGGAATTCCCAGCCCTCTGATCTTCTTCCTGGACATCACCATGCTCTTTCCCATTCAATCCAGTGACAGAGGCTCCTTTGCAGGATGTTCTTTGAGCCGGTGACGACGCCATGTGGACACACCTTCTGCAAGGAGTGCCTGGAGCGCTGCCTGGACCACCGGCCCAACTGCCCGCTCTGCAAGCAGAGCCTGCGAGAGGTGAGGGCTGGGGGAGGGCTGGGGCTCCCCTGCCTGGGGTGGGGACAGATGGGTGGGAGAGGACTCAGTGCCCATCCCAGGGATGTCAGCTCTGCTCATGCAGGAATGACCTGACAGCTGATAATTAGGACCAGGAAATTTGTTTCCATGAGATGTCCCAGTGATTGAGTGAGATTGTAAATAGGACTGAGAATCAGAGAGAGGGAGATTGGCAGAGAGAAGAAAGTTAATGGTAGTTACTTTTAAAAATGGAAATGGATGGAAAGCCTGCTAGCCTGGGAATTTGATTTCATCTTTTATGAAAAGAGATTCAGATGAGCTTGTTGGGGAAATCAGGTTGTCATACATGGATGGACCACATCAGTGTCAATGACAGGATGCTGTCTTGGATGGAGTCCTGGGTCTGATCTGAGTCCAGAGGTCTTGTAAGGCTGATGCAGCCCTGCTGCATGAGCCCCCAACCCCCTTCCCAGATGGACCTCATTCTTCACAGCTCTAAGTTGAAATTACCCTCAGCTCCTATACGTGTGAGCATGATTCAGAGCCTCAGGGTTCCTCTCCTGCTCTGTCCAACCCATCTCTCATTTCTTGCAGTACCTGAAGGCAGGGAGTTACAGCCCCACACTACTGCTGCAGGACATCATGCTGGCTGCCTTCCCTGCACAGCTGGCTGAGCGCCGTGAGCTGCACCGGGCTGAGATGGCTGAGCTCTCCAAGTAAGGGATCTGCCCTGTGTGTTGGGTGTGGGAGGGGCTTCTCAGGTGGCATGTCCCATTTCTAGGACTGCACCATGGTGGTCTATAGCACAGCATCGCTTTCTGTGGGTTCATGGGAGCTGACCCAGAGTCTCTGTTGTTTTGTTTTTTGGGGGGGAGGGTTTCAGAGCAGTCTCCCTTCTTTTCTTTTAGCCTGACCACGAACATCCCCATCTTTGTGTGCACGATGTCCTTCCCTGGTGTGGCCTGCCCCCTGCACATCTTTGAGCCCCGCTACCGCCTGATGATCCGGCGGTGCCAGGAGACTGGCACCAGGAGGTTTGGCATGTGCATATATGAGAATGGGAAAAGGTGAGCGCCAGGGCAAGGCTGCTGCCTTCTGCCACAACTTGTTTAATCCTGTCTGCACCAATCCCAAGTTTCTAAAATTTGGAATAGAGGGAGAACGTGGGGCAACTTCATATCCTGTGTCACCCAGAGGCAGTATCTGTGGGGAGGATATCTCTGAGCTTCACCATTCCTGCGTGTCCTCTGTCTCCTTTAAAGTGGCCATCCTTCTCATTTTCCGCCCATTACAAGCTGCAGTAGCACACTGGGCTTCTTTTTGTCGCATTTTCCTTGATCTCAGATGGGCTCAGCCTTTAGGCTCCTACCCCAGGACTCCATTAAACTCCTATACAAAGTCTTCCTGGGGCTTAAGTCCTCCTGCTTGAGAGAGATGGGATGAATAACTTCTTATGGCCTTTGGTGAACTTTTTATTGGTATTCATACCTGGACATCAAGGCAGCATGAGGACCTTAGCCATTTTTGCGTCAGGCAAACCCAAGGAAGTTCTCATTGTTCCCTGCCCTCTTGCAATGAGTGCTAGCAGAGTTAGCTTCTGATTTTTGCACCACGTCTCTCCTTGGAGATGCTGCATGCAGGAGGAGGCAGCTCTCACGTGTCAACACCCTGCTCAGGCCCCGTTCCTCTCCCTCTCTCCTCCAGCTTTGCAGACTATGGCTGCATGCTGGAGATCCGGCAGCTGGAGCTCCTGGCAGACGGCAGGTCGCTGGTGGATACCATCGGTGGGCGAAGGTTCCGGGTGCTGAGACGTGGACACAGAGATGGCTACAACACAGCTGACATTGAGTACCTGGAGGACAAGAAGGTGAGAGCAGGACCAGGTTAGGAGCCCCCATTGTGGTGGGTGCCTTTGGTGGGCACCGTGCTCCTCACCCATCCTTCTCTGTTCTCCCCTTCCCTCCATCCAGGTGGCTGGGGAGGAGCTGCAGGAGCTGCAAAGCCTGCATGAAAGCACCTACCAGCTGGCACAGAGGTTTTGGGACCACGGGGACGTTGCCTCCAGGCACCTTTTGTTGCAGCATGGGCCACTGCCAGAGAAGGAAGAGGACATCCAGGTAATGCTGTGGGGGCAGAGATCTCCAACTTTTTGGCTTGCCTGGGCCACATTGGGTGAAGTGGAATTGTTTTCGGATGCATATAATCTAGCTATATAATGTAGTTTATGTATATAATTAATAATTAATGGAAGTTCTTTTTTTTTTTTTTTTTAAACATTTATTACTAAAATATGAAAAGGGCAACAGAAATTCAGAACTAGTGGGGTATTTGACCTTGTTTTTGTGAAACTAATGCATCAATCCAGGCTGGATGTGGCTCTGGGCAGCCTGGTCTAGTGGTGGGTGACCACTTTGAGGGCATTTTCAACCCAGGCCATTCTATGATTCTGTTCATAGGTTCAGGGGAAATGTGTGGCACTGAGGGATGTGGTTTATTGGGTGGTATTTAATGATAGGTGGACAGTTGGATGGGATGATCTTGGTTACTAAATGACTCTTCCTTATTCAGCTCTCTCCCTCTCTCCCCTCCAGGCTTCTGCTGATGGCCCAACCTGGTGCTGGTGGCTGATCTCCATCCTGCCCCTTGACCCATCCTTCCAGCTCAGGCTCTTCTCCAGCACCTCACTGCATGCCCGCCTGGCCCAGTTGCAGCGTGTCCTTCTGGCCCTGCTGCAGCCCTCTCCTGAGCACAGCCCCCAGGGCCTCATCTGATCCTCCAAACTCTTTGCACGGGAGAATGCAGCCCCTTGGGTTTCTTCACCATTTCTTTGTGGTTTGAGAGTCCTACCAAAAGCAACCTTAGCAAGATCAGTGCTGCTGCCAGCAGTGACTCAGTGCCATCCATGCTGTTCCCCTACGCGGTGGTTGGTGGCACTGGAGTGACATAGATTTGCCATACCACAAGAGGAGACCATGCCAGAAAGGTGGGTTGTGCCTTTAGAAGCCAAAATCCCTTGCTGAACTACTTTGGCCTTAAGGTGGACCATCCTTAGGGCAGAGGACTGAGTGCTGGGGCTCATCCTCTCTGAAAGGTAGGGCTTTGGGTAGAGGTCCTGCTGCACGTGGCAGGAGGTATAAAGTCATGGAAGATGTGACACAGCCCTGTTGGCTTTTTCCAGCCTCAGCAGCTGGAAGCTCAGCCTCTGGGTGAGAGTTGGACATAATTTCTAATGAGAAAAAGAAGAAAAATTCAATGAAATTATCTGAAATCCATGATTCCATTCTCTCCGCCAGGCAGCAGGGCTCTGGATACTCACTGCTGATGGAAGAATGAAGCTCAGCAGTGATTTGTGTGACTTTCTGCCTCTCGAGCAGTGTGATTTCACTATGTTCAGCGTTTCTTTGTGAACTTTCTGCCTCCTTAGAATAAAGGAGCAGAGGCTAGGTCCTTGACTGTAGAACTTGGGACAGCTCAGGGCCTCCTGAAGCAGCCCACAGTGAAGTCAAAGGGAACCAGTGGCTGATGCTGTGAACCCTGTGCAGGGGAGCAAGTGCCTGGCTGCAAGTGCCTGATTGCTTGTCTCCATCTAAAGGGAAAAAATTACTCCCTCTCCCCAGGCAGGGGAGGCTTTGCTCTGTTTTGGAATTTTCATGTCCCCTTCATAATTTCAGTGGCTTTAGGTGAAGGATTAATATCTACCTACTGCGTTAAGGGATTAAAATTTTTCACCACTTCATCCCTGGGGCTCTGTGTGGGGGGGGTGGAGCAGCACTGCCTTTTGAGAAGTGCCTTTCTTTTCTGCAGGGTGGGTTGAGCCACCCCCATGACCACCATGGGTCCCTCTATGGCTCTGGTCTATGTCTGCAATGGGCACTGGAGCCACATCTGCATGGTGTACTACAGGAAGGGACTCATGCAAACTGCTCCAGTTCGCTTAGAGTGCCTTTGGGGGTTGTGTTAGTGTCCTCTCTTTTAATTATTTGTTCTTTATCATCGTTGAAATAAAGATGTTTTGTTGGTGGTGTCTGCTTCTGAGTTGCTCCTTTGTTGAAATGGGGTGATCACAGTTGGTAATGGGGTCATCTGGGGACGGGTGGAGAGGTGGTGCAGCGGTGGAGGCAAGTTAGAGGGACACGATGAAGAGGGGATAGATGGTAGCAAAGAGGGAAAAAAGGGCGAGGATCTGAGATAGTGTAAAACAGCGTCAGCACCGGGCAGGGTACCGCTAGTGCACGGCGCCATGTGCCGTTCCATGCCATGCAGTACCGCGCTGCTCCACCAGGGGGCGGGCGGAGGCTGAGCGCGGCTGGGCGGACGGGAAGAGGCGCCGTGCTGCCCGAGGTCACCCAGCTCTCCACTGACCCTCTTCCCACCCGACCCATCCTGCACCCCTCAGTTGATGGGAAATGTCCTGTACCAGAGGTATTCATCCCCGGAGAGATCTCAGGCAGCGTTAGCACCGAGCCCTCCGCCTCTCAGCGCCATCCCATCTCCCCCAGCCTCCTTCCAAAAGCTCTCCTTCCCCTTCAGTCTTCAACTCCAAACGTCAGTGACAATTTTCCCTAACAGAGTGGGCAAGCAATTAGCTAAAGAGGCAAGTAATTAATACAGCAGGCGACAGGCTGCGCCTCTTCTTTCTTTAACAAATGGCGTATTTCCAAACTAATTAGACTGAGATAGCAGTAAATCAACATGAGATTGTTAGAGCTCAGATCTTCTCCGGTAAGACTGCGCTTGCACTGAAATGGGAGCGTGTTATACCTAAAGGTTAATGAAGAAAGAGGGGAAAAGCAGCACTGATTTATTTATTTTTTTTATTCATGCTGTAGCAACGACACTTTGGAACAGTGTCAGATAGATCACATCTTTCCTGCTTTTCAGTGCTCAGTGGGGCAGTGCCAGCGTGTAGAGAGAGGGAGCCTATATGGGGGCCATGTATCTATATCTATATCTATATCCACACAGTGTCATAATGCTGAGACCCAAGGCTCCAGCCACAGCCCCCGTCTCCCCATTCCCCCTACAGCAATGCACTCTCCTTGCTTTCTCCCTCCCTGTTGATTTACGGCTTCACAAAAACCATCTCAGTTGAAGCAAAATATTTACAGCACTGATTAAACACCAAGGTAATGGGAAACTTGTTAAAAGTGTAGAACTTATATAAATACAGCACTATTAAAATAAAATGTGACTTTCAGCAAGAACAGCTCTCTCAGCTGTGCTGTGTTTACTTTAATTGTTTCTCTCCATTAATTACAGTCTGAGAGGGAGACTTGTGCAAATTGAAATAAATTAATCGAATTTGTTTAGTTTTGTGTGGCTGGCTTATGGGGATTGCAATTAAGTGAGAACATTCGGGGTATTAAATTACATTCTTCCCTTTTCAAGCACCAAAAATGTGAAAAAGGAGTCTTCAGCAATTAGAAGGTAAGTGAGCATTGTGAGCAATGGTTATTACAGCTCTGTGCCACAAGAATTTCACTCCTTGCAGGTGTTAAGGTTTATCCCTGAGTAAATGCAGCCTGGCTCTGTGCAGTGACAAAGAAGAGTTGGTGGGGCTGATGAGCAGGATGAGGTGGGGTGACCTGTGCTGCAGTGGGATCAGGTGTGTGTTACTATAGAGCTTGGTCTGGTTCTGTAGTAACCAGCTGCTTGCATCCTTGCTGGCTTCCACCTCCTAACTCCAACGTTTGACACAAGGAAAGGGGCTCCCAGAATCCCTGTTCCTGTGTAGGCATTGAAACTGAAGAGAAATGTGAGCATCATGGGGAAGGAAATTGCACAATCACAGAGTTGGGGGGGGGAAAGGGACCCCTGGAGCTCATCTTGACCAACTCCCTGTTAAAGCAGGTTCATGAAAGTATATTGGATGCTCAGTGCCTCTAAGACACCAGAGAATCTACATTACAGTCTTATTCCATCATCCCTGCTTTGGCACGTACCAGCTTTGGCACTATTCATGGCCTCTCCTGCTCCAGCCTTGCCCCCAACTAACCTGAGAGGTGGGGGCTGCATGGGAGCTTTCTTCCAGACATACTTTTCCCTCAAGAAATACAGCCAAACTCAGGCAGGGATGCCAGCACTAAGAAGGAGAAATGCATCACTTCTTCCCTAAAGAAAAAGGATTTGGGGAAAGAAGTGGGGCAATGGGGACAAGCAGCAACTTGGTTCCCTCATCCCTGCCTTGTGCAGAGCTGCTCACTGCTCCCAACCTCTGCACCTGGCTGTCGCTGTGCCTGGATGATGTATGGAGTGGCTGTGCTGCAATAGGATTTGTACCCAGAATATTGGCTGGATGATAAAGGAGTCTGTCTGCGGTGATAATTGCACCATAAATAGCGTTGGGTTCAGCAGTGACGAGTGAGGCACTTGAAAACCTCACCCTCCAGATTCCTCCTACTTCCCTCCATCTTCCTGACTGCTAACAAGCTGTAGGAATAGCTGCTTGGTTTCCACCAACCGCAGGAGGATTATTGTGCTCAGATGCAGCTGGGCACCCTCCTCACCATAAATCTTCATAGTGGAGAAAGAAAGGGAGAGGCAAAAAAATAAAACCCAAGTAAATTGGATCATTACTGAAAAGCAGAGGGTAGGGCTGCTGCTGTCCCTCCTCATTTGGTGCTTTTGGCTCCTGGGGGTGACTGTGTTGTGCTGCTGATGGGAGCTGAGAAGCTGCCAGCCAGCCTCAAATGCTGACAAATGAGAGCTCAGGCCAGGGCATGTTGTAGCAGTCAAGAACTGGGAAGAAGAGAAAATTAATGAGGATGGATTTGGAGCTTATTCTCACTCTTTGCTTTTTGAGCCTGGAGAAAGCATGTGAACTCTTTTGAAAGAAAAGTTGGGAGTGGATCTGGCTCTGCAGGCAGATTAACCTGCTGCTGAACTCCAAATGATACCTTAAAGCCTGGCCTGTGTGCACAGGGGGGTTCCTGTTCAGCTCTTCTGGGGCTCTGTGCTCATAACAGGACTTTGGGGAGCATGGAAGAAGTGGTCAGTGTTGTAAAGAGGCATCTATTGATCAAATCTTATTCACAGGAAAGGAATTTCTGCTGTGGCTCTCCACTTCCTGATAAACATGCCCTGTTTTGCTGCAAATAGTTAAAAAAAAAAAAAAATGGACTGAGTAGCACAGATCTCCAGGGATCTAAACAAACAGCCCCCAAAAGCTTGCAAGATCTTGGCTAAAAGTTAACCCTGGAGCAGCCAGACTTGGCATCCCCCAAAAGCTGGGAAAATCCTCCCTTTCCCCACTCCATCTCAGTGTGAGGAGCACACCAGCCCATGGTGGGCAGCCCCTGGTTGTGGTTCCCCAGGGCTGCGACCCTGCAGATCAAGGCACAGAGAGCAGCAGCTCCCTCAGCTCTGCATGCACCACCACCACACAGGCTGCTCAGCAGGCACCTTCCAGCTCTGTACAAATCCATAAGCTCCCCACGCCTTCCTCTTCTACACATGCAACAAATCCAAAGACCAAATATAGAGTATATTTTTTAATTTTTTTTTTTTTTCCTCCTTTTCCCCCCCCCATTCTGGACTGTTTGAGACCAAACTGTTTACTCTATTTAAGCTTCAGCTTTGCAAGTTTTAATCTTTCACAGTTGCAGGTGCACCCAAAAAGATAAGGGCATTAGGAGGTGCGCTGCTGCTGTTCAAAATAAATAAATAAAGCTGAGATTAATTCAAAGCTGCTTCTTAATACTCAGTATTCCTCCACTATCTGCTGCTATTATTATATTTACCTTGTCTAAGCTGGCACAAAACACTTGCACAACAAAAGCTGTGACTGCTCTTTGGTTCAACGCTCCCCTCTCGCTTCTCTTCTTTGTTTTGTGCTGCATCTCTGTGTGCAGAAGGGAGGGCAGAGCTGTCACAGCCTCAAGGCCACCGATCCTCCACCGATGAGCATTTGGCACAGGATGGGCAGGGGCAGAGGGAAGCACTGGGGAGGTGTAGCAATCACGGCTTGGAGCTGAAATAAGCTGTCACACTTTGTGCACCTCTGACAATAGAAGATTTGTGGAAGTGGTGCTTTAGTCCAGATTAAAAGAAGTATCCTTTCTGAGAGTCACTCCTTCTCTTGTCTTCATTTCTGAAAGTCACTCCCTGCATTTTGCTTTGCCAGTTTTCTCACTTGAGAGCTCACACCACCCACGGCACTGGGTACTGCTGAGCTCTGGCTCACAGTCAAAGCCTCCTCCCTTCAGGGAGATGGAAACTAATCAATGAAGAACATTAAACACCAGGAAAGCCACAGCAACTTACCTTTCCCCATAAAGGTCACATTCCCACAGTGACTTCACGGTAGCACTGAGCTGAAGGCAGTGTGGGGAAGTGACAGCTCTTGGAGATAAGCTCTCATTCCTGTTTTCTGCAGGATGCTCTTAAATGGTGAAAGAAGACATTGCTGCTGAGCTGGCCTGTCATCCTGTCTTGTGCTCAGCTGAGCTTTGATTTTCCATCCGTCTGTGGGAGACCTGGGCTCTCTCATCTCTGGGTTTGTGGGCATGGGTCCACATAACCATGGGGTCCCACTGCCATGGGAACCACAGCCACTCATTCCTGCCCCAGTGCCTTTGCCCAGAGTCTCCCATGCTTTGCTGGAAGAAGGGTGATGCATTCAGATCACTCCAAGGATGCTCAGCAGGATTCTTGAATTATAGCCTGTTACCCCAAGCTGCCCAATGTACGTCCCTGGTCTCTTGATTATCTTATCTCCCTTCCAAAGATGAACCAAGATGGAATCCAAGGAGTACAGTCATGAAGTCAAGACACATGGGAGAGCACGCAAGACCATCCCCTGGGACCAAGGCAGGACTGGTGGGACCATCCATCCAGGCAGCAATGGGGAACTTCTTTCCCTCAGCATTCAGCTGTCTCCAATACAGCTGCTTACTCAACACCTGGCACAAAGAAAGGCACAGGTTAGTCGTGTGGCTGTTTCTGTTGACAGAAGAACAACAGAAATTTGGAAATAAACAAGTCTCTGTACAGATCCTTCTCCTCATATTGTAGCAGAAAATTTAAGATA